CTGTTCAGTTAATTTACTGTAAATTTTGCCAGTAACCTGTAGCCCACAGATCTGCTTATGCAGAATGTAAAATACTCCAACAGTGATCAGGTGGCCACAAAAACTATTCCACCTGTAACAGTAGCACAGATTCCAGCTCTCAGAAAAGTGTGCTATGCCACCTTTTGGGCAAGTCTTTAGGCATCCGTCCCACAGAAGGCTATATTTTCAGGACCAATTAACTCTAGAGACAAGAGGATAAACTGGTGATGATATATTCAAAAGTAACTCACAAGACTTGTTCCAGCAGCTTGATTTAACCACTGGAGTCAACTATAACCAATATCTAATTATGTTTAACTGTGGAAATTCAGATGGAGATGCAGCATTGTATCATGAATTCTGCCCTGGAGTTTCTGCCAGGAGTATTGTTGGGTTTCAATTCTTTTTTGAAAAACAAATTTTTTAAAAATAGATTACTATTTACAAATTCTCATAGTGATTAAAAAAAAGGCTCCTGAAAGTTTAACTTAAAAACATTAAGATTGTCCTACTGTTCTGTCCATTCGTGCAATAATATTTTCCATTTCAGAGGGAATGGCTAACACATTTCACAGAAGAGCAACTAAATTGTCTACATGCAAAGTGCTATCAAAAGAGAGGGTGGGGAGGGAGAAGAAATATTATTCTCCACATTCACTTCTTCCAGGTACAATAGAACTAGGAGTTTATGTGTACTAACAGCACTAAAAATATTTTTAAGGCACAAATGCAATTGTTGTTTTATGGCCCTGATTCAGCAAGGCAGACTTCTGGTTAACTTGAAGCATGTTGAGCAATACCATTGACTATAATGTGATTATTCGTGCTCAAAGTTAGGAGTTCTGCTGTACTGTACAATTTGCAGGTAGTTAATGGAAGAAAGAGATAACTCTTACCCACATCAGCAATTCTGGGACTGGTCAACAATCTTATAGAGTCAAAGAACCTTATCACAACACATAAAGGAGAAAGCAGTGAGAAGAAAATAAATCCTGATGAAATATGAAAGACCTGACATCAGCCAAAAAATATACTGCCCTTTAAGAAAACAAAAATCAAGGCAAGTGAGGCTACCAAAATTCCTTATCAGGTTACATGAGTAACAGATTATGAGGAGCTATAAAACAGCAACAGGAAGCTTGTTTTTCCCTATCACTGTCCAGGTATGATTTCCTCTAGATGAAATATAAAAAGTAAATTCTTTAAAATAGCATAACACAGGAAGTATCCCAAGAGAGGGAGTAAGTCCAGTAGACCCTAACCACCACCAGCATAAAAGAGGAAATCAAACAGGATACGATTTTTTCATAAGACTGAGATATTTCTTTCCATGAGCCTTTAGAAACAAAGATGAAAATACTTTTCCTGGAATCACTTTTTCCACAGAAAGCAGAATGAGGCTAGAAATAGAGGGGTTACAAATTTTTGTGACATTAAAATAGCAATAAAGACATTGTTTCTTCAGTTAAATTCAGCCCATGATGAAGACATCAGTTGCTCCCTGCAGGAGGAGGTCCTGCCCTATCTACCTTAGGTTTGTCCCAAGGTATTTGATGACAGCAGAAGGAAGAAAAAGACTTTGAGTAAAGTTACACACGCCCAAATCCCAGAAATGCATGTCCCTCTTTCACCCACAAAAGGGGAAAGCCCCAAGCCCCCACATTGACAAACCAGAGCTTCTACTATGGACATTTTCAGACTCCTCACAGCAGGTTGAAGTTGAATGTCCCAGTCAAGGCAGAGTAAGAATAGGGTTTGACCTGCTGCTATTTCAGATTGAAAACAACAAGAAGATAGAGTGTCACCCCACAAATGGCACAGAATTTTAATCTGTTCTCACTCTGTGGTTACACACAGTGAGGTCTATGTAATGACCTCTTACATTCTTCCCCACATCCAAATGCATTGCTGCAGTCGAAGGCAGGGTAAGTTCCTTCATCCCAGGGCAATCAACTGCCCACCTGGGGCTGTGTCATATTTTCTACAATCACTGGTAGTATATTGTTGGGCCAAGAATATATTCCTTTTTTTGGCAGATTTCTTTCTACAGAACTCCAAATCAGTTCTGTAAAGCCATAATGATGCAATTGTAGCAGAGCAGTCAAATGTGTATTAAGTGCATATAGAAAGCAAAACTAACTCACTCTCACATTATAGAAGTTGCTTTTCTGATTCCATAAAATATGTTGTCCCTCTTTATTTCTTTGTCTGCTTTTATCACCTATCTCAAATCAGCAGCTATTAACCTACAATTGAAATGGAACAAGTGGGTTTGGTGGAGATGAAAATAAAGTAACATAGCATTAATATTCACCCAAAAAATGAGTGGTGTAAATCACTAAGTTCCACAGTAAACAGGGCTACTCTCCTGCAGAACTCTTATGTGAATAGGGGAATACTCAAGGCATACCTTATTAAGTATTAATACACCCTTTTCCAAATAGGATTGTTTTCAACTTCATTCTTGTTATGAAGAAATAGCACATATGTTTTAGAGGAAGCATTTTTATAGAAAATACCCCAAATTAAAGCTAAATCAAAGATTTCTTCTGTTGCAGGACCTCTTTGAAATTCATATCAGTGGCTTGGATCACCCTGTTGAATAGAAATGCTCCATCTCTGCTTTTGCACCAAACCCAGAGCTGTTTGTTTCTGCCTTGGCCTCCATCTTGGGCCACCTCTGTATGAAAACAAACAGTTTTCACAGCACAAACTCACAACTGATGACTATTTGCATTGTCTGTCTTTATAAAATATCAGTACCATCGCCTCTCCTTTGGATTTGCACACGGGAGCAAAGGGAGAAAAGCTTTTGTGACCTACAAAAGCCTTACTTGAAATAATTCTCTCCGACTTGAGGCCTTTTGGAATGGAAGGGATATATTGTTTTGACTTGATTAAAGCTGAAAAGTTGATTTGACATCCTGTTGTCAAGGAAACCAATTCACACACAAAAGAAAACAGTTGTGATGGTATCATTCAGACTATTCAAGTGACCTCAGGAAAAAAAAAAAAGGCTTCAGTTCCAAAGATTTGTATTCAACTCACTTCACCACTGTAGAAATAAAGATCATTGCTCTTTATGCTTATTGGAAAGCAGTTTTCAATCTGGGGAAAGAAAAATGCCACATTTTCCATCTGCCAGATCCAATACTTTGCTGGGAATATATATAAACACACCTACCATTTATTTGCCTGTTTCAAAGAACCACAGAAAGAATCACACTGAAGACTCACAGGGAAGGAGAAAGAATTTCTTTAATTGACAGGACTGTGATAAATACCCCCTGACACTTACCCCACCTATTGAACGGCAGCTTGCAAGCCAGGTTTTAAAACATCCTACTTCAAATAGACCTTACCTCAAACACAGCATTGTTTGCATCCAGTTTTGTTTTCCTGGGAGACATGAAAAAAATGCATTTTTTTTTCTCTGCCAGTCTCCTAGATCCCTCAAAAATTGAGTTTTCCATGCATGCAGTAAATGAAGTTTACCTATGCTCACTCTTCCTACCTAGAGAATCCCAAAGAGTCAGAACTACCCTGGCTGACCACAACCACCATCATCCAGCTTTGCAGTCCATGCAAGTCTCACAGAGGTTTCATTCCCTAACAGTCAGTAAGTAGATTGGAGAAATGAAACTTTCTATTTGCTCTCACACTGTAATTATACATCTCTTTCTCCAATGACATAGCCTTGCCTGGCTGAGTGAGCAGACAGATGACTAAATAGCAACTTGTCTCAAATTCAGCTTAGAAAAAAAAAAAAAAAGAAGCATGATATTAATAAGGAGGGAAGTATACTGAGGAATAAATGCCAGTGTTCTTACATTATTGTCATTTAAGGGCATCACACCAAAGGTCACAGAGATAATAAGCCTCAGTCACTTTCTATTTGTTACACAACATACAAATTTCCACAGCATTAATGAATATCTTTTCCCATTCCTGGCCAGCCAAGACACTGCATTATTTCCTCCTAGACAAGCACCTAACCCTTGGAATTCATTATTTCCATCACTTCTTGCAGCACTTTGTCCTTAGGGCTGAGCATAAATGCCACAAGGTGGCTGTGACTGAAGCATCAAATGCCTGAGCCTGACTTCTTTCTGCTAGAGCATTTTTGCTGAAAGAGCATACAGAGCTCATTGATATCTTTTGTAATCAAATACGTATACACACAAACATCCATATGTGCTCTCTTACAAATATCTCAGACTCCTTGCAGACCATGGGGAAAAAAAATTGACATTTTCATAATTTGTGGATACTGCCTGATACTTATATATTGAAATAATAGTTATGCTAAAAACACCAACTGACCACAACAATAGAAGATACCATGGGACAACTGCATTTATACTTAAAATGATGACAACTTGAAAGTAAGCAGTTCTTGGAACAGAAATTATATTCATGGAAATGTGAAAGGGCTTCTACAAAGGGATCTACTGCTTAAAACCTCTTTACTTCAAACAAACTGCTAAGATAGCACAGCTGAGCTATAGAGAGAGGAATGCCTCATTTCTAATCTGCACTTCATTGTATTTTAAGTTTAGGAATTTCACATAAATATAGATAGCAACAGCTGAAACAAATTCATACTATTTCATAAACTGAGGGCTTTTTAAGATGACAAATTATTATTTCCACTGTTCACTGTAAGTATAAAGAATATGCAGATGAAAAGAGAATATTGAAGGCTGGTAGCTTTGTACAGTTCTGAAAAGGACTAAACTTTATGTGCATAATTAAAATAAGAGAGCGAAAAATTAAGTCCAATCCCAAATGTTGAACTAAAATAAGCCAAGAGTATTTGCTGCATGCAATCAAATCACCTCCACCTCTGTCCTCCAAACTGAAACACTGCACTCTGCATTTTGACAAACACCTTATCTTGGTATTTTCTCCTCTCCCACCCAACAATCCCAAAGAGCAAGAGCCAGAAAGAAGAAAGCTGACAGCACTGCTAAGCTTACCCACAAACAGGTCCATACTCTTTTATGAGTTTTGTGTGGTTTTCCCAAAAACCCTGGAAGAAAGGAAAAACAAACACAGTATTTTAGAGAAGTGCTTAGCAGAAGCTCTATTACACACTGTTTCTACCACTCACACAAAGCTTTGAAGATCAGCCAGGAGAACCATGGTATTAACCCATAACTTCACCTTTCATCCATATGTGTTGAACATAAAGTCTAGAAAGGATGGCTTGAAAAACAAATCCCAACCCCAAAAAAGATCTGGACAGACATGAAACATGTTTTCATTGATGTTTTATTCTCCAAAATTTTTTGCCATTTCATGATTCATTATTTTTAAACTAACTTCATTATTTTGGTCCTGACTCAATTTTTTTCAGATATGCAAATGGATGGAAAACTAATACAGAAATTAATAAGAAGATAAGTATATGACTTACTATACAAAAGGGAAGAACAGGGAATATAGCAAGGTCATCTTGTTTTGGTTTTAGTCATATTATTAAAAAAAATCCCCAAACCTGCCAAGTCAGAGCTTAGCACAAGGCAGTCAGCTGGTACATTCCACAGAATAGTAAGCAGATTTATTTTTTAAATTCTTACCATTTTTACTGTCTTTCATTTTCATAATTGAAGAAAATTCATATCCATTTATCTAAATAAACCTGTCACTATACTCAATTGTTAGTGTCTTAAATGAATTCAAATTGATCAATCTAAAGAAGGTGTGCAAAATATATCCCTGAAAATGAACGATACAAAAACCTGTTTTAATGAAATCACAATATTTGAGGACCATGCTCCATTGTGTTTGCAACTTTTCTATGGAAAAAGTAACCCATTTGATTGCATTAGGCTGCATTTATATTAATGGAAGACAGACTATCACGATCTATTTTTGTTCTTAAGAGAAAATTCACAAAAAAAGTAGAATACTTATATCTCATATTTAATCTTTGTTTTTATGACATAACACAGAATATTAGCTAGAACAGTACAGCTACTGTAAATACATCTACTGCTGACATAAATAAACCACCCCATAATGTGTATATGCTTTGAGAGTATTTTGCCACACTAAGCAAGGGAAAATCTGGTAATGATCTCACTTAACACCCTTAGGGTGCCAGCTTATTGTCCAAATTAGCAAAGCGCTTGCCACCACCTACAATCCTCCTCTCATAGACTCCCTCAATTTTTTTATTCTTATAGTGCAGTTGTGCTTTTTATTTTTCTTTTTTTTTTGTTTAATCCTGGATTTATAATACTTTTATTCTGCAGGACAATATGTCCCCAGTTTAAGGCAATAACTATAGGTTCTCCTTTAGCTACAAAAACCACGGGATGACGTGTAAGAAAACATGCTAAAGATGAAATTATGAAAGAGGTGTATTAGATGACAGCCTGAGGAGAATGTAGAAAAGAATATATATTCTCCCCAGAAAAAATTCTTCACTACTAAGGTAAGCAGAAAAGCCTCAAGAGTTAGCACACAAAAATTAAGGCCTTGTAATGCTACAAATGCAGACAGCTAGCTCAAAAAGGCTTTTGCCTGGAGACACCAAGGGAGGGGAAAAGGCCCATATACATTCACACCGACCTGCATTGTAGCTATAGAGACACTCCAGCCATTGCAGGACTCCAGCCTGCAATTGCTATAACTTCAGCATTATAAACACTGTCTACTGATGCAGGGGGGAATGCTGGGGTCAGCTTCTCCAGGTGGCCATTTCAGGCTGGTCCAGCAGGCTCAGCCCATGGGCACGCTCTGACCACTGTGCCCAGGAGAGCAGCCCCAGGCAGTGCCAGCAAACACCGCTGACTTTTCCAGCCACGCAGGGCACATCCCGAGGTCACCGGGCACAGCCCCACCAGGGTGCAAAGCGCTGCTGTACCACAGCTGCAATGCTTGGCCAGGGCAGAGGAACTTCCAGTCCTGTGGGATGATGCCAAATCAGGTCTGCTCTCCAGTCCACTTCCCTCCCAGCCTGAGCCTTCAGCGAGGACACCCACGCTGCAGCCTGAACCCTGCCTGCTCAGCATGCTTTGGATTGCAAGCACGCACACAGGTATTGCACTTGCTGTACCCACCAGCTGCATTCCAGTGAGCCAGCAGGATATTAACATTTTCAAGAAGCCTAGGCTTTAAATGATTCAGTGAAATAGCTTTCCAGCAAGCCAGCTCCTTGGAAGAACTGCTTCTGGCTCACTACATTAGAGGGGTCAGGCAGAGCACGTTTCAAATCAGATCTGTTAACCAGTAACTGGTTTTCTACCTCCAGGACTCCTAAATAATTGCACTGGCTTAAAATTAACCACACTCAATTTTTTTCCCCTAAAGAGAGAAGTACTAGCCTGCAGGGTGGGGGAAGAGAAGGAGTTGAAAAGCACCTGGGAAAGACTGTGAGAAAGCATCTCAGGAGTAAAAGAAGCCTTAATTCTCTACACTCCAGGATGCTTTCTCATGCTGTGCAGTACTGCACCCACATACTTGCCACTACCAGCCTGGGACCCACTGTTGTCCTGGCCTCCTCAGGGACTGGTAAGCACCTGGCAGCAGGTCTCATGGCAGCAGGCCTGGGAAAGAGAAGCCAACAGCACACACAGTACCCCATGGAGCTGTGGTGGCTAGACTGTAGGCAAGGCAGAGGGCATGTGCATATATCCCTTACATACCAAGGTACACCTTTCAGCTAGAGGAGGAAGCTAGAGCCACAAAAAGACCCCTGTGTTTGCTCTTGATGGCCACGAGGAAAGCCAATGAACTTGCATGGTCACAGAGTGAGAGGATATGCCACATCCACACAGCTCTGCCAGTCTTGCAGCGTCATCCCCAAACATGGCCTCCAGTAGACAGGTACCCTGAAAACATCCTCCTCCTCCCCTAAGTCATGTTTGAAGCACAGAAAGCCTTATAAGTGCTTTTGGTAACTTATTTACACTGGCTGAATTTGGTTTGCTTCAACCAATTATTGCAGACTTGTCCATGTTTTATAATTGCACTTGTACTTAGTATCTATGACATAACCAAGCACCTGCTCACAATCAGCTGCTGTTTTACAAGAAAATGGGAGTAGAGACCACCAATCTTTGCTTCCTTTCCTTGTATTTATCCACTGGGTGATCTGCAATCAAACTCAGAAATGGCACTGGCTTGACTAGTAACCAGTGACTTTAATCTCCCTAAGGAAGAAATTATAAAAGAGCAACAGGGTGATCAGGAAAAGAATAATTAGGAAAAAATTGAAGTGTTTTTTGAAAAACAGAAGGGAACAGAAAAGCAAAAGCACCCAGTATTATGGTATGACACTATGTGTATCAGGAAGAGCTATTATGGATTAAACACTCAGCAGTAAAAATTAAAAGCATAGTTAGCAATGATGTTCCAAGTTTTTTAAAAAAATCACTTAGGGTTTTTTTTTGTTTGAAAGCTGCAGAAAATGAGCTATCGTCATCAACCCAGAAAATGGTTGGGCCAGGGGGACTTGTCACGTGTGGCCTGTACAGGGAGGTACCAGCCTGAGGACAGTCCATCATCAAACAGGATAATGCAGGAGTAGGAAAAGCTTCTTCCCTTGAAGAAAGCATATTTTACAGCATCTGGTATACCATGGAAACAGCAGCTCAAGTGGGCTGACTGCTGCACACCCAGAAGGTTCTTTGTTTACATATCTGGCGGTTGCCTCCCTGCAGGGAATTTGCATTCTTCCCCTTCCTCTGAGTGTGTATCATCATCTGGATCTGTGGATAGAACCACTCACAAGGCCAAATCCTGCTCTCAGGGATACAGGCACAAACCCCATGGAAGAGAACAAGATTTCGGTCTGCATCAAACAAAGCAAAGTCTGGTCACTGCCTACCATTTTTATTGAGATATCGAATGTTGAAGATTCAGCTTGAGCTGCCTACATGAAAGGGCTAAAATTGCTCGAATAGCCCCTCTCCTTTTTTTTCAATAGACTCTGGCACTCTAAGACAGATACTTCAGCAGTTTCCTCCTCATTGCATATTCACCTTGCTAGTTCCTCACAGCAAGGAAAATATCTGCGGCAATGTCATCTTCCCTCCTTGCTGAAAACGGTTGTAGGCACTAAGCCAAAGTTTTCAGAAAGAGGCAGTATTTCAGAGAGAAGCAATACATTTTGAATTTTGGGGTGTTTAATATGAGGCATCTCCAACTATCCCTTTTAGTTGCTCGATACCTGCAGATCTCATGGCTTCAAATGGAAAATGACTCAGATTATATGGAGGATGCTTTGAACACTTCAGCTCACTGCAGGTGAAAAAAAAATGATGTGGTTTATGGACTTCACTGTGCTTCTTCGGGGTCATGAGATAAAATGGTTTGAAGAGAGCCACAAAGCTGGGATCCAGCAGATGCCTGCCCCTGACAATAACTCAAAACCTGGACTCCAAAATGGGTCCTAGAGAATGCAATGAGGGTAGACCACGAATTTTGTAGTGTACTGAATGTCACAAAAGCGCTGTGGAGATGGATGTGATGAGCCCATCAAAATTCACTGAAAGTGGGAAACATTACCCAAGAATGATCAGCCAAGGGAAAAGGTTTCTTTTGTTGCTCCCTTCTGAAAAGTATCAGATACTATCTGATGTCAGTCACTTTACCAAGACACCCTGGATTCAAACTTGTGACTCAGAAACCAAAGATGCCATGTCCCATAACTAGTCCCATATATGCTCCACCTTTATCACCCTATATCAGATGTGATTCTTTGTTTCCTTGTGATATTAATAATAACAGCATCATTGTTCAGGTGCACATCTCATATCAAGAGACAAAAAAAGCTATACAGTTATTTATGGTACATAAAGACAATAAATATTTTTGGATCAGATTTTTAGCATTCAATGGGCTTTTGCACATCCTTTTTCCTTAGACCACCTGAAAAAGAAAATTGCTAATAACCTAGTACCCAAAATGATTTTTTTTAAGACAAGCTAACATTTAATTAAAGTAACCTTGTATCTGTCTCCAACCCTCTTTGAAGGAATGACCCCAGACTGTACATCAGCTCCAGTAATAATCCTAGTG